TTTTCTTCCGCCATGTCGGAGATGGAATACGATCAGCTGGAAGAAATGCAGAAGCAGGTTATTTTTCCTGCTCTGATACCATGTTGACTTTTTGATATATCTTTCATAGATAAAACTGTTACAAGATGCAGCATATATGGAAGAAGAAACGTGAAGAAGAAAGGAGGGAACATGGCAACTAAGCCAACACCATGATGACCTGCAATCCCTCTAATCTTAATCTATTATCCAGCTTTGGCTTTACAGTGATGAAGAGCCGAAAGCAATGGATGAAAAACAGTAAGTGAGGGGGGACCGAAAGTAACAGCTAAGCAATGACAACAAGCTAAGCTGTTCTCCATCACCACTAGACAAAAGCTTGTTATTCTAATATTTAACCCTACTTTCAATAATGACATCCAATAATATGAAGGTAGTGGAATTATCTAGATATATCTAGCATGATGTTTCCATGCTTCTCCAAGGTTCCATCCATGCCTGTAAAAGGATAAGGCATCCACACCATTTGTAATAACCAAGAGAGCAAGTAGTGAGAAGTGAGAAGAAGCAACAAAGCTTCTAAGAGTGTTTGAGTGTTTCCTCTTGTTGTCGACATAGATCTATGTTGGCTCTTTTTGTGGCATGCTTAATTCTTTTAGCAAGTTTCTCAGCCAGATTGCATGACAGACACATGAGGTAGCAGCTACGTATTCAGCTTCGCAGGTAGAGAGAGTGACAATCGGTTGCTTCTTCAACATCCATGTGAATGTAGTGTCTCCCATGAAGAACACAAATCCAATAGTGCTTTTTTTATTGTCGGAATCTCCTGCCCAATCACTGTCGCTATATCCAACAAGTTTGTAATTATTAGAGCTTGAATAGAACAAGCCAAAGTTAACAGTACCTTTAAGGTATCGAAGAATTCTTTTGGTGGTCTTCAAATGTGTAGTTGTGGGATTCTCTATGTAGAGACTGACTCATCCGACGACATAGAGAATATCTAGTCTTGTGCAAGTCAAGTAGCGTAAGCTTCTAACTAAACTCTTGAAAAATGTTGGATCTACACTTTCTCCTTTGTCATGCTTAGTTAGTTTAACTCCGCACTCCACTGGTGTGCTTATGGGCTTGCAGTCATCCATTTTGAACTTTTTCAGTATCTCCTTTGTGTAGCTTTCTTGGGAGATGAAAATGCCTTCTTCGTTCTGCTTGACTTTAATGCCTAGGTAGTATGCCATCAGCCTGATGTCAGTCATCTCGAATTCTTTGGTCATCACTCTCTTGAACTCTTCATACATGCTTGGATTACTTCCAGTGAAGATTAGATCATCCACATATAAGCACACAATCAGAATATCTTCATCCTTGAATTTGACGTAGAGAGCATGTTCATGAAGGCACTTGATGAAGTTGTTTTCTTGGAAGTACTTGTCGATGCGACTTTTCCATGCTCGTGGCACTTGTTTTAACCTATAGAGGGATTTCTTCAGCTTCAGAACTTTGTCTTCATGCCCTTTGACTTCATAGCCTGACGGTTGCTGAATGTAGACTTCTTCTTCAATGACTCCATTTAGGAAAGCGGACTGCACATCCATTTGTTGAATCTTCCATTTGTTTTGAGCTGCCAAAGAAATTAGTAATCGTATAGTTTCCAACCAAGCAACGGGTGCAAATACCTCATCACAGTCAATTCCGGCTCTTTGACTATAGCCCTTCACCACTAATCTCGCCCTGTATCTTTCGACCTCTCCGTTGGCATTCTTCTTTGTTTTATACACCTACTTGACTCAGATGGCTTTGTGTCCTTTCAGAAAAATAGCAAGTTTCCATGTATCGTTCTTCTGGATTGCTTCAATTTCTTCATCCATTGCTTTCCTCCACTTAGTATCTTGCACTGCTTCTTAGAAGTCAACTGGTTCATTATCGAGTCTTTCAGCTACCTCATAGATATCTCGTAGACTTCTTGTGCGTGGTACTTCTCTTTCATTTAGACTCCCACTTGATGATGCTGATGCTGGTGAATTACCATGATTGGTTGATATTGGTGAAGCAGGTGGAGTGGTGGACTCTTGTTGAACCTCTCTTGCTCCATCATCCCTTGTTCATTCTCTTCTTCAAACTAAGGAAAGAAGTGAAGATCACTTGCATGAGAGCTAAAATCTCATTCTTCTTCTTCATCGAATGTCACGTCTCGACTGATCATCATTTTCCCATTGTTTGGATTATACAACTTATAGCCTTTTGAATTTAAGTCATAGCCGATGAAGATGAACTTCTCACTTTTTTCGTCAAGTTTGGTTCTCCTCTCGTCTGGTACATGTATATAGGCTATGCTTCCAAAAACTCTTAGATGAGAGATACCTGGCTTTCTTCCACTCCATGCTTCTTACGAAGTCTTTCCCCACATACTTCTTGTTGGAGACCGATTGGATTGGTAGACAGCACATGCTACAGCTTCTGCCCATAACTCCTTAGGCAATCTCTTGCTTTTGAGCATGCTTCGAGCCATGTCGATGATGGTTCGATTTTTTCTTTCCGCCACACCATTTTCTTGAGGGGATCTTGGAACTGTCAAAGGTCGACGAATTCCATTAGCTTAACAGAATTCTTGAAATTCCTTTGAAGTGAATTCTCCTCCTCGATCAGATCCCATGGCTTTAATCTTGCAACCACTCTCCTTTTCTACAGCGGCTTTGAATTTCTTGAACGCTCCAAAGACTTCTAATTTTTGCTTCAAGAAATATACCCAGGTTTTTCTTGAAAAATCATTAATGAAGAGAAGGAAATAATTATTTTTACCCAAAGAGCTTGGTTTTATTGGACCGCACGCATCGGTGTGAATAAGCTCGAGTGGCTTCTATGCTCTTGTGGTTAACTTATTTGGAAAGCTTTTCCTGAACTGTTTCCCAAGTAAACATACTTCGCAAGCTTGATCAAGGCGATTGATGCACGGTAAGCCTCTCACCATCTCCTTCTTGGATAATAACTCCAGTCCCCCAAAGTTAAGATGCCTAAAACGAAGATGCCAAAGCCAGGATGTGTCTTTGTAACATGTTTTGAGGCACTTTGCAACATCATTTTGAATATTCATAGAAAACATCCTATTCTTTGACATTTTCACCTTGGCAATTAATCTTCCTTTGTCATCTCTAAGAAAAAGGCTATAATTTTTCATGTGAATATCATAACCTTTTTCTAAGAGTTGACCCAAGCTGAAAATGTTGCTTTTCATATTGGGCACGTAGTAGACATTTGAAATTAATTGGTGACCGCCATTTTTCAGTGGAATTAGGATGTTACCTTTTCCTTTGACGGGTATTTTGCATTTGTCTCTAAAAGAAACGTTGCCAGTCACCGATTCATTGAGCTCTACGAACATGCTTCTTCTTCCTCACATGTGGTTGCTGGCGCCGGTGTCAAGGTACCATGTATAGTCTTGGTCTCCATCATTGTTCTTGCATGCTAGTAGCACAATGCCATTATCTTCTTTCTCTTCTTTCACATAATTGACCTTCTCATCAAGCCTGTTGCTTGAAGCTCTACATTCCCAAGCATAATGCCCAAACTTTTGACAATTGTAGCATTGAACTTGAGATTTTTCATACCTCAAGTTTGAGCGTCCTCTTCCACGACCTTTTGTTAAGCTTTCTCCTCTTTCATAGTTGTTATGGTTGTTGAAGTTCCAACCACATCCACGTCCGCGACCTCGACCACGACTTCTTCCGTACTGGCTTCTCTCGTTGTCCAAGCTTTCTTCTTTCTTCTTTGGCTGGACATGCGTCTTGAGGAGCTGGTCATCATTCTCTTGCCTTTTCTTATGTTTCTCTTCATATGCTTGTAGCAAACCCATTAATTGCTTTATACTAATTTCTTCCAAGTTTTTAGTTTTTTCAATCGTCACAACAATGTGCTCGAACTTGGGGTCCAACGAGCGTAGTATCTTTTCCATAATTCTAACATCTTCTAACTTTTCTCCGTTTCTTTTTAATTGATTGGAAACGGCTAGGACTCTTGAGAAATAATCAGAGATTGATTCAGACCATTTCATTTGTAGAGATTTGAACTCACCTCTTAATACTTGAAGACGAACCTTTTTCACTTGTTCGGCTCCTTTGTAAGAGGTTTGAAGCTTCTCCCATGCTTGCTTGGCAGAGGTTGCACTCGAGACCTTCTCAAAGCCATTGTCATCTAATGCTTGGTAGATAAGGTAAAGCGCCTTCTTGTCTCTCTTTCTTGAATCTTTCAAACTCTCCTTCTGGGGTTAGGACAGAGTAGCTTCATCTTCTGGCTCAGTGTAGCCTTTCTCCACAATTTCCCATACATCGTGTGCTCCCAAAAAGGCCTTCATTTTGATACTCCAATTATCGAAGTTGTTGTTGTCGAGCACTGGAACTTGGAAGGCTGCCATAGCGTTGCTAGCCATAGCTCTGGTACCACTTTGTTGGGGCTTAAAAAGACTTCACTACTTTGGAGATGTTTATCTCACAAAGAAGAACGTAACGCAGCGGAATTGATAGGCAAGAGAAAGAAAGAATACTCAAGGTATTACACAAGATTTTTCTTCACTCACAAACTTAGTACAAGAGGAAACACTCAAACGCTCTTAGAAGCTTTGTTGCTTCTTCTCACTTCTCACTACTTGCTCTCTTGGTTGTTTCAAATGGTGTGGATGCCTTCTCCTTTTATAGGCATGGATGGAACCTTGGAGAAGCAAGGAAGCATCATGCTAGAAATATCTAGATAATTCCACTACCTTCCTAAGCTAGAATTATCTATATTAATCTTGTATGTTGGTGGAATCCTCGCCATGTGCATGGTTCTTTGCTAGAATTCTCTAGCATGTGCATGGTTCTTTCTTTGTGTATGGGCCGGATCAATTGTCTTGGGCCAAGACAAGATTACATTTCAACATTTCTTACTACCAGATATGGGATCATTTATAATTATTTTTTTGTCAAAAGCATCATTTATTCATTTCATGATTCAGCATTCATTCACATGATCTTATGAAACCAAATCTGCAGGTTCAAAAATAGTTTTTACAAATGGTTCGCAGGATCCCTGGCGTCATGCATCCAAACAGACTTCATCACCAGATAGTGAGTATCACATTTCTCACATGAGAAGTCTCACTATTGATATCCTATGCATTGATGTGAAAGTATTCCAACTATGTTGTTTGTATCCGGTTTTATATCCCACACCAAATTGTAGGTAGTCGTTTGTATTCTGTCGGTAGTTACATGTTTAAAACTTGTGTACTATTGATATTGCATGTGTACTGTGCCCTTTAGATTTACATTGAACTATTATGCAAAGTCGCTTCATAAGGGATAAAACATACGTTCACTAGATTGCAATATTTTTAGTTATTTCTAAACAGTCGTTTAAATCTTTTTTGTTTTGAATAAAACTTTCAGTGCCTTCCTACGTCATCTCTTGCCATAATTGTGGCCATGGAACTGATTTGAGAGGATGTCCTCAGTTTCCTTTCCCCCCTAAAGGTATGTTTTGTGTGTGTGTGTGTTCCTTTGTCTGGAATTCTAGTTTGATTATGAAAGTATATTTTTAGTTATTGTTTGTGAATGGCGTTAAAGCACGTCAAAGTTGGATAATTTGAACCCGAACATGATTTTCATGGATGGCTGTGCCTGATAGTTTCCAGTTGATGATGTTATATTCATTAGGGTTTATGACTTGTGTTTCAGGCAATTCCCAAAACTGCAGCAACCCTGATGCAGTCAACAAAGTAAGGCAACAAATTGTGGAACACATTGACTTGTGGCTTTCTGAATGCCAAGAAACTGGTAGGAGTTACATGTAATGCATATTTATCTGATGTTCTACAACAGCAGCAGGCACCTAGAATGACAGTCGGAGAGAACCCGCAAATCCACCAGGAGTCTCCTATTCTTTTGCCGGATGCCAATGCCGATGGACGTGTAAAAGTTGATACTAAATTGATTGCTTTGAACATGAAGCCTCATCGGATGACAAGCTTCAGACAAAGAGCTTAGAGTGTGTTTAGTACCATCTGCTTGATCCTGGGTCTGTTTTGATTATAGCTTGTATCTCAACCCTGCAATGTTTGACAATTTGATCAAAACTTGATTTTTAGGTCTTCTTTTAAAGATCGGCGCATAAAAAAATAACTAAATTATATCTTTTAAGTCATCTAATGGTTATCCAATAAATAAATGAACTATGTTTTTCGATTAAACGCTAAATTATTACAACGCTAGTCGAACTGTTATTGATTTCTGATTTGGTTAATTTTGTGCAAAATTAATCTTTAAGGGTTGCTTAGAGAAAAGACGATTTTTGAGTATCAAGTAACAAGGATGGTAACATTCCCACCTAAAGTATTTGGATTTTCAACGTAATATGTTCGTGACATTAATTTCGTCTTGCCTTTCGTTTTCATTGATGTGTTTTTTCGTGGGTTTAGGCTTTGTCATTCCGCTTGTATTTTTCTATTATCACATTTTAGTATTTAATAAAATTCGGAGATAGAGGACAGGAAGGGTTGATCCATCAGGAAGTTAGCTCTAAGTAATCGCTCTAAGTGGGAAGGAAGTAGCTACTTTGTAGTAGATGACTAATTCTAAGGTCTTAGTTCTTTTTTACTATAAATGGGGCTCATATTGATTAGGAGCAAGAAAAGCATGATACCAATTATGGTAAAAGAATAAGAATAATTGAACAAATGACTGATCTGTGTTTACCTTGAACTTGAGATATTCGATGAATTGACTATGGGTAAGAATTTTGTGCTATTCAAAATCAGTTGTTATGAAAATATTCATAATGAAAATAATGAATTCAAAATAATGATGCAATTATAATTTGAAAATAAGTTTTATTGCAAAACTTACATTGAGACATACAATTGATTTACTGACGATTGAGTCAGCAAATAAGAAAATGACTGATGAAAATGATATTGGGGCACGCAAGCATCCTTGACATTTTAAAATTAAAAGTGTTTACAATTTTGATTTCTTTGGATACAGTATGAACTCAAAGAAATTTTTTACTGAGAAATGTAGAAATTTAACTTGAACTTTCTTCCTCCGGAGTCCACTTCTTATAGATTTAGAAAAAGGACTTGGATGATGACTTGTTTTTACTATTGATGAATGATGACTTGTTTTCACTATTGATGAATAATGACTTGCTTTCACTATTGATGAATAATGACTTGCTTTTACTATTGATAAACAATGAAATTTGTTGGAATAATTGTTACTTTCACTGTAGAACATGAATGATTGAATGAAACCATGCTTTGTCAAAATCATTGGTAAGAATATTGTCTAAACGTTTCACATGGTGTCCTGGAAGGAAGGCTGAATTTTCACATGGCAATTAACTATGTTCACATGACCTTATGCAAAAGGATCTTGCGAATCCTGGTAGTCGACCGACTTGGCTGACTATGTTTTGACTTATTGACTTGGTTGGTTGTTGTGAAGACGCATCTGAAGATTCGGAGTCTCAAGCTTCTTCTTCTTTAGTGTGGAGCATCATTGCTTCTGCAATTAATTTTTGTGCTAAATCTTTGAGCTGGGTGGCTTTATTCTTCTTTGAGCCTGACGATTTATAAGACTTGAATGTTCCTTTGAGGGATGAAGATGGACTAATGTCCAATAATGACTGTTCCGGGATGACTGGCAATGATGGTTGTGCTGGTTGTGCCCAAATGATTGGAGGTGGAGTAATAGGAAATTCGGTGAGGACCTAATTGATGGTCTTTTGATGGTTGAATTTATCCCATCACTTGACTGATCTGATTCTGTAGACTTCACTTGTTTCAACTTCATAATTCCACATCAGAATCCATAGGACTTTTTACTTGGCCATGAATATTGGGAGAAGTGTAATTTTATAGTTGAATCGGCTTCTGTTAAATTTCTACTGGAAATTGGCGTAGATGACCTGCATAAGTTCTTATGGTAGGAGACTGGTTGTTGGGCCATGGATTGACCACCATTTTGGGAACCATGCAGGAAAATTTAATCTGAAACTCTTGTCAAAATTAATGAACCATGAATGACTAAATCTTTTGTTTGATGGAGAAAGATATAAGTCCATGCATCAATGTAATCATAGTAATTGTAATGGTTATTGGGAATGTGGACATATTGGGTATGAAGAGGTTTGGTTTTGTAAAGGGGGATTCTCCAATCTGATTCGGTTAAAAACCGGCCAATGTAAAGAGAATGGCAAAGAATTTTTTTTTCCTGGGTTTTGCTATAAAGTGATTTGATAGAGATGAATTATGTTTCGCTAAGAATGATTTGATAATATTTCAGTGTTTTGTGTGGTGTTGTAGGGTGATAATGGAAATTAGGTGGAAAGATGGTTTTGGCTAATTTATCTAGTGCTTGTTCCTAATTGAGATTGAAAAGAATGCTAAAAAGATATTCACTGGGATTTTTCTTGACATACAGTGATGTTTTAGTATAACTGACTGGTTGGGATGAGGATGATTGGTATGTAGGGGTTGAATAAGGATCATATTGACTAACTAATGCCACTTGGTAATTAGGACATGGTGACTAGTAATTTGGCCTAAGGTTTCCTACTGTGAAACCTATAGGAGTGAAATGGTTGGTAATGGCTAAGGCCGATGAAGAATCTGGACTTGATTCTTGTTTTATTGGTAGTGATGGTAGAGTGGCTGGAAGCCTCCTCTGATCAAGTCTTCTTGTTATCATTATTTCCCTACATAAATTCTCTGGTTAAGAAATCAGATGTGCAATTTTGACTACCTTTGATGTATTATATTTCAAAATAAAAAATACTTAACATAGTTTGTCATCGTGCAAAAATCTATTTTGATGCAATGTTTTGAACATCTTTTTGTAAAACATGTTTTGTAGATTTGCAATCAACTCTGACTAAAAAAAAATTATTTAATAAATCATCTTGAAATTTACTAATACATAATACGATAAATAATATTTCTTTCTTAATAGTACTACAATTACGTTGTGCTGAATTCCATACTCTTGTAATTGTCTTAATTTTTTGGGATCTATTTCCGTGCAAAACTCAAATGTGATTTTTTTTCCCTAACATTCTGGTGGTTATACAGTCATGGTGCACCTTAAAAGGATATAGGAGAGCTATGAAAGGGAGCCCAAGAATGACTAGGTTTGAAATTTTTTTTATTAAAACAAATCCGGTTTTAAAACAAACATTGTTTTGACAAACATGAGCTTTTGGAATTTCATATTTTAATTGCATTGGGGGACTGGTTTGCTGCACTAAGGATTTCTGTTGATTTATGAAAATACTTAGTGGGAATTAAACCTTCTTGAATACAATTTAAGTCTGCACCTGAGTCAATTAAGGCAATTGTTTTTAACTAGAAGTCTTCAATTATTATTTTTATTTTAGAATACCATTTTTGGATCCTAATTTTTTGTAGTAATCCTAAAACTAGGTTTTTTGTTGGATTTTCTATGGACTTGGATTCTGATTCTTGGTCTGAGGAATAATTATTGTGTTCTTCATCATTATTGCTAAGGAGTGTGTTTGGATACTACTGAGATGTGAGCGAATTTCTATGTTTTTTTATTTTAAGGACTTAATTTCTTCCTTAACTTTGTTGACTTCTCTTTGTAGGTCTTTGACCGTAATTTCTTTCTTAGCCTTATTAAACCTTTCCAGAGTTGTACTAAGACAGATTTTTGGGGTTACTTGTGGTTGACTAGTACCGGCTTCTTCTTGGGAGACTAACTTCTTAAGTTTTTTTAAATAAAATGATTTTAACTCAAGGTCATCTACTTTACTGATTAACTCAATAAGAAGATCTTCTTGTTTTTCTTGTTTATTGAGGACTGAAATCTTTTTACAATAAGCATTTGTACACCCTATCTTAATGTCAGGGGATGAAAGAATACTTGAGAAATTACTGGAAGAGGATGAATTAAAATCTAAATCATCTTCAAATTGACTATGGTTTGTGTCTCTTAACTCTAAGACTTGAAGTAGTTGGGTTTTCTCTTCCTCAGAGATTTTCGACTGATTGATTATTTTCTTGACTATGTATTTGTTTGCATAATGACCGAATTTGCCACACTTGTAGCAATTTCCTTTTTGTTCTTGGTTCTTGGAGTGGAATTTTCCTAAGGGTTTCCTCTTCCACTTGGTGGACTTGGGTTTCTCGTAAAATTTATTTGTTTCATAATTCTTATTTTTGAATTTGTTATAATTGGGATGTCTTCTACTGGAGTACCTATTTAAGTACCTATTGTAGGCTTCTGATTTTTTTCTTTTTGTTGGATTGAGCAATAGGAGGTAATCTGTATTGTTCACAAAATGTTCCTAATTCGTATTTGGCTATTAACTTGTTTTGTAATTTTCATATCAATACACATTTTCAATCCTTCTTTCTAGATAATATTAATAATATTTCTATAAGTAAGAGTATGATATGGTATGATACCTTCTTCATTAACTAAAACATTTCTGATTTTATGGGCAAAAGATTTGGTAATCCATTAATGAATTTTTCTTTCCAAAATGGTTGATTACTATATTCCCTAAGCATGACTCTAGACATGAAACCATCTTTATACCACCTAAGATCGCTTAGGGTTGGACATCTTAAGTTACTAAATTGGTCATGAATTCTGGGGGTGACATTACTAGGTGTCCCTATAAAGTGTTCTATGATTGTGAAAAGTAGGGTGTTGATTGCATCTGGGACTCCTCTTCCGATATGTTCATCGAAAATAGGTGTTCCTTCTTCATCTCTTTTGACTGCATTTTTTATTTCATTTCTGGATTGTTCGGTAAGATGTTTTTCCCACCAGGAATTGAGCATTCCTGTAAATCCAGTGACCAAAAGGTCAACAACTTGAGTTTGACTAAGGTTATGATTGGTAATATAACTATTAGCAACCATGGAGACGTGTTGTAATTTGTTTAAAAGTTCTTGTTCTGATAATCCATATGTGTTCCATTCATAGAGATTATCAGCCGAAACTGAGAATTAGATGTTTCTTTCCTCAAATTGAATATTCGGAGGTGTTGGCCTTGGATACCAATTTTTGGTAAGAGTTGTCGGGTTGACTCTTTTGTTTGTAATTCGTTATAGTTCAAGGTTTTGAAAAGCTTCT